GTCGTGAGTAATCGACAGAGAACAAAGTACAGGGGAGGAAGCGTGAGGGGTACACGTAAAATACACCCTCTTATAGAGGGACTTAACATCCACAGATGTTGGTATCCATATGGATCTTGGAATCAATTCTCCACAGACTAAAAGACAGGAGTACTAAATTGGAGTGTTTAGGTCATCTTATTCCTCTTTCTATTATAAAAAAGTTACAAATTGAACATCCCTAACCCCAAAATCCAAATCCAAAATGTTCCAAAATCCAATGTGAGCATTAATGTGATGCCACACATGGAAAATTCCATTTTGCTTCCCAGTGCTTCAAAGAACATCAACTTTGTTTAATGCACAAAATGACTTAAAATTGTATAAAGCTACCTTCAGGTTATGTGTTTAAAGTACTTACAAAATATAAATAAAGTTTCATGTTTAGACTTAGATCCCATCCCCAAGTTATCTTATTATATATATATATAATTCAATTTGTATATATCTCTAGTAAAATTATATCTAGAAAAGTGAGTAATTGTAGGCTTATTTCTAAAACTTACTTCTTGGCCCTGCCAGTTAAAGTGATAATGAAGCTACAGAATAAATTATCTTCCCAGGAAAAACAAATTCTTCCTTTACTTGGAGATGTTTGGTATCAGGTACATGCACTCCGAGAGACAGAGACAGACAGAGAGAAAGTGAGAAATCACCCCTCAGGGGGATTCCCATGCCATAATCCCTTCTCCTCCATTCTCCTCTCAGGATTTTGGGCATGCATGCACATGTGCCCCGCATGAGTGTTAAGCTGCCAGGTCCAGGACTCAAACCATGGAGTCCAGCAACGTAACCATTATGCCATCTTGCTGGTCCCAGTAAATTCTTTAAATGAAGCAAAAATTTACTTTATATAAGTCTGCTAGGCAAACTGTACTTAACGTATGTCAGAATTCTTATCTTTTACCATCCAAGATACATTGGGTCATTGGGAACATCATGACACATTTTTGCATAGAAAAACAGAACAGTCAGTCATGACTTTCCCAACAACCTAACAAAAGCAGTCTTTCTGAGCTATAAGATAAAGCAGAAAAGACAGAAAAGGGCTCTCCTAAATTATTTTCTATTTTGTTAAATACCAATTAAAAAGTAAAAGACTCAGGGGTCTCTTTTTTTACAAAAACATAGTTTGAAACAAAAACTAGAGGTCCTGCTTTCCTCTCAATAACCCATAAAATAGTGATTTAGAAAATATGAGAATCATTCCATGGGCTAAAAAGGAAAGTGTTTCCGTTGAGATTGTTTCCACAAAGCACCCAGGAGAGAAGTTCATGCACACTAGGTAATTTGTCAGTTTTAGATTGTAGATTTCCTCTGCTCCTTAGGAACTCTATGGCATGAATTAATAGTGATAAACGGGCTCCTAGGTTTCCAATACCATCACACTATTGACCAAATGCTGACTGGACTTGCTTGTTTGCAAAGAGACAGCACAGGTTATAGGCTAGTTGAAAATAAGAGGCAGGACAGGGTTGTCTGTGTTCCAGGGCCAGGTGAGTCACATGACCTCCCTGGAGCCTTGGTTTCCCCACAGTTAAAATGCAAATGCTAATGAATTTAAATGTTGTTGTGATACTGAAATAACCTTTAGGAAAGAACTTCTTAAAGGGCTTTTCAAATGTTTCATATCAATCTTGTGTAGATAAATGGCAGGGGTTTGCTGATCCAATCAGCAGGTGAATGGAACCAGCCTTAAAATGGGTAAACAAATAATACTAAGTCTTCTCTCTGTTAGATTTGCTCTTGTTAGCGAGTTCCACCTCCTGTTCTGAATATGTGCACAATCGGCCTAACCCACGTAACTCAACAAAAGGCTCTCTGGTCCTTCTCAGCTTCCTCCTGGATCTGTCTTGTTACCATGGCACACCATTAATGAGGTACACAGTGTCAACATTGTATTTAACAGTTGTGCCTTTCATTACTAGACAACTTCTAAAATGCTGAAAACCTCCAGCTCTTGAGCAAATCTTCTCCCTGAGTAAACCAATGGCAGTCTCATCACTGGGGGCAGCACTCCTTGAGTTTACAGCCCAAAAATGGGCTCAGTTCGGGCCCAGCCCATTTTTGGAAGACAAAATTAAAATGAGCTTAACTAACATGTTTGAGGAAATATTGGTTCTTTTTGCTTACCAAAAGTATCCCTTTGGGTAGAAGAACCTGTGTCTTCCTTCAACTTCCCTGAGGACAAGTATTTAAAGAGGAGCCGCCCCTTCTGGAATGGACACTACTGGTTGCTGGGCCTGTGTAACTGACATACCTTCACTACTAACTAAACAATTCAGATAGCTGAAACAATGGAGGAGACTTAAAGTCTCCTTACTCCATGTAACTGATGCAATTCAAGATTTCATGTATGGCTTAAAATAGGGCTGAAATTAAAAAAAAAAAAAAAAAAAAAAAAAAGGCCCCACTTCTCTATTTGTCTTGAAAATGTCCCCC